AACCTAATTTTATTCATCACAAGAGTTCACCCACATCATTAAAGCACTACATATCAGCCACAGTGTTGATTTACTTTTCTTTGTTACTTCTCCACCTTGTTTTCATGATATTCAATGAGACAGTTCATTTTATGCAGAGCATTTTCAAAAAGGAGTTTCTGGATGTGACTGTATGTCTCAGGAACACTCTGAACAAGAGAGATTTAAAACTGGAGATGAAAAATGTATTGTTTTCTTCTATAGATTTTTTTTAATAGGTACGGTTGTTGCCTGTGTATGACAGGCTGAAATGTTGTGCACCCAACCACAGCCCCCCCCCCCAGTGGGTGAAGACAATTGTGATAGTGTGATGGAATAAACTTGACAAGACAATGAGCTGGGATTAAATATTGGCCACAACTTTATTGCTTACAGATGTAGATAGATTTAGGCTTAGGCTTAAGCAGTGTCATGCCTGGGGTATGGGCCACGTCAAGACACAGGTCCACTGATGTGGCCCAATCCCAGCGGCTGCTGGAAGCTCTATGGCCCATCTGCCCCAGACCTGGCTTCTGGACAGAGACTTACACTTAAGACTCCTCTAACCTGGTACCCTGTGATTGCATCTGCTAAAAGGTGGGATGATGCACCACTTTACCCCAAACCCTTTAATGGACTAGGACAGGCATCCCCAAACCTGGCCCTCCAGCTCTTTTGGGACTACAACTCCCATCATCCCTAGCTAACAGGACCAATGGTCAGGGGGGTGGAAACTGTAGTCCCAAAACAGCTGGAGGGCCGAGTTTGGGGATGCCTGGACTAGGATTCCACCCAATGCCCTTTTCACCAAAAGTTGTGACACTTGCTACGAGGAAGGCAAAATCTCCAAATTGGCACAATTTGTCTGCAGGCAAATTCATTCCCGGCTCCGAATACAGCAACCATTGTCAAACCATAGCAAGGCCAATATACATGATGCAAAAGGAAGCCAATAAAGGTTAAGGCACAAGTTATACAACAGCAGCATGAAGTGAAGGAGGGACGGAGGGTTTCTCTTTGGTCAACTGCACTGAGTGACCCAGGTGCATTCGGCTTTTATTCCTAGGCAGTGGACCAGAGTGAAGACTTTCTGACTCCTGCCCATCACCCAGGCTCTACCCCCTGCCTGCCCATGATTGGGCAGTTCAAAATTTCAGGCTTGGTGGCTATCCCAACCACCCAAAGCTGCCAAATGGGAGAGGACCCAACTGCTGGCGGTGAAGAAAAGGCTTTCATCCCCGGGGGTCAGAGGGTGGTATGTGGTCAATGGACTAAGACTACTTCCCTAAATGCTCCTGGTAAATTAGAGTATTAAAGTGTGTACCTTTTACTGCAACTCATTTGTATATATTCAAATGATTTTTTACCCCGAAGTGACAAAAACTCTGTTCAAGAGCTGCTCCCTTGGCTCGTTTCCTGCTAAAACCATCGCTGCATGGGAATGTTTTTTGTACAGCCCTATGGCAGCTTCCACTTGCAGCTGATGAGTCATCAGTGGGAACGGCTGGAGCTGAGGAACAGGAAAGCAATAGTCTGTCAAGTGAAGCAACTACACGTGGATTGCTAGTGTTTGGTGCTTTACATTTAATGTGTCTCTGTGATGTAAAAGCAGCTCCACCCTATGCTGACAATTGGGTGAAGCCTGTGAATATTCTAAAAACATTCAAAAGAGCCATTATGGATTAGTGGCTAAGAGCGGTGGACTCGTAATCTGGTGAACTGGGTTCGCTTCCCTGCTCCTCCACATGCAGCTGCTGGGTGACTTTGGGCCAGTCACACTTCTCTGAAGTCTCTCAGCCTCACTCACCTCACAGAGTGTTTGTTATGGGGGAGGAAGGGAAAGGAGAATGTTAGCCGCTTTGAGACTCCTTAAGGGGAGTGAAAGGCGGGATATCAAGTCCAAACTCCTGCTCTTCTTCAAAAAAAGCTGGGTAACAAAAAACCAAACACCTTTGGAACTTGGCTTGAGAAAAGTAGTTTCGCGTCCGACTTTATCTGTACAGTATGTTTATGTCATGTGACAAAGACACATGAGAGCAGAAGCAGCAAAGCAGGCTGGGAAGTGCTGGGACTGCACAATCATTTGGGCCCACTAAAGTTATTCAGGCCTAATTGCTAGGTGTTGAGTCACTCTGACATGTGACTTAGCAGCCAGTTTCACTTTGTGCTCTCTGTAAGATGTCAGTCAAAGTCAGTCTGCCTCAGCTGTGAGCAGAGTCAGTATGTAATCTCAGCCAAACTGTTTGGAACCATGTTGTTTATGAAGAAGTTGATTTTAATTCAGTAAAGCTTTTATTCTTTAAAACTCTGCATTATTAATTTACGCTGCACGTCAGTTTAAGTTAAATGTTGATTTTTAATCCATGTGAAAATATTACTTTTGGTGGTTTCTCAATTCTCATGTTGTCATAATTTCTGCCACTTGAAGACAGATACTGCTAAAGGGAAGAAAAGTATTTTGTATAAATACAGAGGGGGGGAAACACACACACACACACACACACACACACACACACACACACACACACGAGATTTCTGATTCACTAGCTGGGAAAGATAGGAACAGTTTATATTCTGTGCCTTTTTGAATTAATAGCCTAGCCAAGGCAAAGATTTGTGGAGATTTGTATGCTGAAATGTACTGTAATGAATGCAATTTTCAGTTTTATGGGGGAAGTAATACTTGCGGCCAGCAATTTGGCACTTAGAACATGAGCTTTCTATTTGCAGGTACGTAGATTATATTACAGTGACTAACAAAATTGAGATATTAAAGTCTTAAAGCAACACATTTTCAACTTCTGTCATCTTCCTCTTTTCACAAGTGTGCATGAATGTGTCTCTGTGTGTGCATATATGTGTGTGTGTGTGTGTGTGTGTGTGAGAGAGAGAGAGAGAGAGAGAGAGAGAGAGAGAGAGAGAGAGATACGCCAAGCCTCTCATCTGTTGCCTGTGAATTGTGATGCCTTTGGAACAGACAGAATTAATTTATTTTGTCTCTTGATTGCACATAACCTGTTGGTCGTCATGCTTCCCCATCACCTCTGCCAACTTGACAAAAACAAACATACCTAGTCATATTGCCTTATCACATTTTTAAACCTATCACTGCTTTGAAACAAAAACCGTATTTTACACCTACTCTCCCATCAATTCTCAATTTTGCACAATGAAATCATTCTAAGTTGGTACATGTGGGTTCTTAAATCCCTGCCTGATCACCAAGGGTCTTCATGGAGATCAATGAGGTTTTCACATCCACCGTGATTTGTTGATCTTATTTGCAGGGCAGTGTCAAAATAGTGTTGGGCACATTTAAATCCCATTTGTTTTAAGCAAGAATAGTAATAATTTGATGGAGAATTGTGTTTGTCCTTTTGAGTATTATATGTACAATTTTTCAATTTTGAATTGTGTGGGTTTTGTTTTTTTAAGTATAATATGAACACAATTCAAAATATCCAGTGCCATGTATCTATGGTCTCAAAAAATGTGTAGACTGAGAGGTTCCAAGATTGGCTCAAATTCTTACCAAAATTTCTGAATACCCCCCATGTCCATTGGACTCTTTCTCATCCCATGTTTTGGAAGATATGAGGATATCTAAAGTGAGTTGGATAGTTCCCGAGTGTTTTAAAATATTTTTTTATTGTGTTGTTACTACCTATATTTCTTTTGTCTCATTCTTCTCTGCTTTAATCATTAATTGATTTTTCTAAAAACAACAACAACAACAACAACAACAACAACAACTGTAATCTTGTTTAAGTATCTTGGCATGAACAGGCAGGATGAAAATTGAGTGACTAGATAAATGGGTAGTGAGTCATACCTAGTTTTGCCCCTCCACTGATGGAATTATCTTTGATCCAACAGAGGCTTGGAAGGGGAGGAAAGTTAATTTTCACAAATCCTCCCCTCCCTTCTGCATCTCACCAGGGCACATGCCATGCTATTCCAAGGGCTCCTCTAACTCTCTGGAGCAGATTTGGGGGGCATAGGGGAATCATTTCCCTTTTCCCCCTCAATGGAAGCCTTTGCTGGATTAAAGAGCCTTCTGTAAATGGAGAGATACAATTGTATATAATCCGATATATATATTGATCTGACGGAAACCAAGGCAGCTGTCAGCACAGGGATGGCTAGCCAGAGATCACAATTATTTGCACTGGTGAATTTATCAGCAAAACCATGTCCGTTGAAATGCAGTGCCAGAATGGAATCACAGCACTGATGAAGCAGTAAAGTCATCCCTGTTCTAAGTACTTATATATATATTTGGCAGCACATGAAGTTTTCGGACTGATGAAGCAGATGCCAAAAGTCAGGTTCCCATTATTACTTGCCAGTTATTCTCAAAACAAGTGGGTTTTTGTTTCTCTGTCTGTGATCCAACTCACATCACCACTGGGGACATGGTGACTACATGTTGGTTTTATGAGGCTGATTTATCCCACATAAAGTTTCTCTCATATATTATCTAGTTGTAATCCCCATGAAAGGTATTAATATTCCCTATATAGCAGGTGGCAAAATGGAGTGTGAGTGATAAACATCTAAAGCAAGATTTGTTTCCTTTGTAATTCCTATGCATTTTTTAAAAAAGGAACAAATAAGTATTTTTTTTCTTACAAAGCAGACAAGCCACAAAATGTATAATCTACCAACTACCTCTCCCTATTAACCAGACTAGAATTAATAGAACTTTCAAAAGTGTGCAGGATAAATTTATATCGGAATGAGCACCAAAACAACAAGCCTCCATAAAAATTGCATGTAGGAGTGGTTATGAAATCAAGCAACTCTATTGCATTTTTTATCCTATATGGATTTTTTTAAAAACCTTGTTCTCCTTATCCACTCAGGCATTTTAACTTTACAACTTTACCTCCCTGAAGTCGTATTTAAAGTATATTGCAAAGACAGTCGCATATTAATCTTCCCAAACTTAACTGTTAATTCTTTTTTCCTGTCTGCCACAGTGAGTCAAGGTGGCGACGCAGTTGCATCAGACACATGTCCTGATCCAGGTGTTCCTGAAAATGGGAAAAGAACAGGCTTGGATTTCCGGTAAGAGTTTTATATGTCTGACTTAAAAAAAGAGTAAAATTTAATGTGAGAAGAGTGTGCTCAACTTGAAGTTAGAATCCCTCATAAAAAGTGCTTGTTCCTGTAGTTTAGTCACGGAAAATTTGGATGCAGTAACTTGGGGGTTAGGGCACTTCCCCACATGGACTTGCCACTGGTGGATCTCAAAGTGAACAGGCAATTGCATGTGAGCAAGATCTCCAGTGTGCCCTGTTCACATGGGACATACTGCGCCAGCAGTTTCCTTGACTTCTCTGTATTGATGCCAGGCTGCAAATATGCTGCAGTCATTTAGAATGTCTCCATACACATGTTTGCTAAGCATTTCTCTTAGCCCAAAGGTACTTAGATTATAATGGTTCTGGGAGCCTACAAATTAGACTATTGCAATTGGCTCTGTGTGGCACTTCCCTTGAAGGCAGTCCAGAGGTTGCAACTTGTGCAGAATTCAGCAGCCCAGAGATTGGCTGGGACATTTACTCTGAAACAGCTGCAAGGGTTCCCTGTCTGCTTCTCAGACCTTACTATGAAGGGTGGGTAACAATTTGGCTGTCTAACCATCTTACAAAAATAGTAGCATGCCCAAAACTGCAACTCTTGGGGCATTGAAGGAATGACAGCTCCTATAACCTTTTCCTAGGGCCAATAATTACATCATAACAATACCTGGATGAATTAAGCTGCATCTGTTTGTGAATAGCGTGTACACAGTTCCAGACTGGAATAGTGTCCCATTAATTATGTCATATTCAGAGCAATAAGTCCAAAGGGTTGGAGGGGGTTGCTTTGCGATGGTTTTATGACTAGATAATAAACGAGTATTATTCTAGAATCCTATACTGCGTGCCTTGAACAATATTTTGCACGCCATGATACCCCCTATTAAAGTAAAGTGCCTACATTGCTGAACTACATAGGGTGGTAGTGATTCATATAATATCAGATATGCTGCTTTGAAGTATGACATACCTAGAAAAGCTGTGCACCTACCAAGGCACTTGCTGCAATTGCCAACTCTGCTATGGGAACATGCATCAAACCCAACAGCCTTAGTAATGGATCTGGAGCAATGTAATAATAATGGCACTGCCGAGCAGGAGAGAAACATTGAATTAGGAACTGGGTCTCAAAATGGTTCTACCTGGGGATTTAAACCAGGGATAGGGAAACTGCGGCCCTCCAAATGTTGCCAGATTCCACCTCCCATCAGCTCCAGACAGCATAGCCAGTGGTGAGGGATAATGGAAGTAGAAGTACGAACAGCAGGATCCCCATTCCTGGTTTAAAATATCCCTTTCCCTACATTTAGTTTCATTCTGGAAGTCATGGTGGGGGGGAATAATCTATTTTATCAAGTCAAAAGTTCTTTCTCTCCCTCTCTTTCTTTTGGAAAACCAGTACAGTGGTACCTCAGGTTAAGAACTTAATTCATTCCGGAAGTCTGTTCTTAACCTGAAATCGTTCTTAACCTGAGGTACCACTTTAGCTAATGGGGCCTCCCCCCGCCGCTGCACAATTTCTGTTCTCATCCTGAAGCAAAGTTCTTAACCTGAGTACTGTTTCTGGGTTCGCAGAGTCTGTAACCTGAAGCGACTGTAACCCGAGGTACCACTGTAATGGTGTATGTAAAATTTGTTCTACCTATGTATATTTCTGTAAATTTGGGGAAGCTCTTTAGATTTCCTACCTGCATCATGCCAATTTATTTTGTTGCAATCACAATGCCTCAAAGGCAGATTTGACGAGTTGCAACTTTCTTTATTCATCCCGCTAAGCAGGAAAATAGAAGTCTTTTTAATCAAACAGCTTTCTTCAAAAAGCTAGAAATCACTCCTTCAGCAGGAGGGGAGAAGAGGTAATTTGGATAAGACGAAATAATTTCATAAGCTGGAAAAAAGGACAGTTTCACCAACAGAGATGTTACCAACTTCTGTAGTGTCTTCCACTTTTCCTATGTATGTGGAGTGTTGGCATATAGGGCAAAGGGAAATTATAAAACCCATATCCTCTTCCCAGGTGCTAAAGATATGTGCTGGAGCAAACCAGTGTGAGAGCAAATGAGGACAGATCACAAATCAATGGCAGAGCACATGGTTTGCATGCAGGAGGTCACAAGTTCAGTTCCTGGCACCCTCAGATCATCACAGATGATGATAAAGACTTCTGCCTGAGACGCTCTGAGCTGCTGACAAGTTAACAAAAGCAGCACTTAGCTAGCTATCTAAAGCATCTTCATATGTTCCATAGAATTGCTAGTGTGCCCTGGAACATAAATTAAATAATGAAGGGTTTATATGAGACCTAATTAGCCACCCCACAGAGAAAGCTGCTCCCTGCAGCTGCATTAAGTTCCAGCATCACCTCCTTTAAATCAGGTTCTGCTGAACCACTCTGCCTCATTCCTCCATCAGCTCTTATTCTATAATTCGGTCATTTGCAAGGCTGAAATACTACTTACCTTTGGAGGAGGTTGCCCATTGCATCTCAGCATGGATCCCTGGAAGTAGCCATATTTGGAACAATGTCTTACAAAGAAACACAGGGGATGGTCTTTCATGAGATTGTGATTCTTACCACAGGCAATACCGGAGGACTGGTTGAAGTGAGTGAAACAAGTCAGTATAACTCGGGGTGTTTCCAGGTGGCCTGATTACTCACACAAAATTGGGCTTCTTTCTTACAGTTATCCTGTTGCTTTTCAAGCTACAAAAAGCCCAGTACGAAAATCCAGGGAAAACCGCAGCAGGAAGTGCAGAATAACACCTGTGGAGTGGCAATGTCATATAACCTACACATATACATATCAGGATTAATGCTCAATAAGCGCTTACATTGGAAAATGACAATAGCCATACAATATATTCAAACACACACACATAGCCCCATTAACAGCGACAGAAAACTTTGGCAGCACACTACCAATAAACATTCAATAACACACTGTGACTGTTTTGTTTTGTTTTTTGAGCTGCTTTGGAACTGCTATTGTTACACTATGAAAAATAAAATTTACAAAAAACCCTAACAATAAACAAGACAATACTCTGGCCCACTAATCATCAGATAAAACCTCAAACACTGATCCCTCTGTATTTCAGAAGCCAGACTCATTAAAAAAAAAATGCTCTGCACCCAGCCCAGGATCAAGGCCAGTTGCTGCAAATAAGTGAGGGAGTGGTTCTTTTCAAGATGTGATCCAGTAGCTCTCCTCTCTCTGCAGGAAGAGCAGGACAGCAGCATTTAATGCAAAGCAGGGAGAGATGGCAAAGGTTTACCTGCTCTGCAGTTGTTCTGACTGCTTCTCCCTCCAGTCACTTCTTTGTTGTTGTTTCTAGGTTAAGTACGTATTTCAGTATCCCTCTGTTATTGAAATAACCTGCTTGATAAATGATGATTCATGCATTAGTTGTTGATTTTCTTCCTTTGTAACTTACTGCTACTGCTTGCTTGTGTTGGGTTATCATTTCTCCTATATTTTGTATTGATCTGCAGTCTTATACTGGTTATGTGTTTTCGTGTTGTTGTTTTTTACATTCCTCACTAAAATTGGTTGGCTGGAAGTTTGAGTCCAACACAAGCTGTAGGACCGTAGGGTCTTCAACCTTCTTTTATAAATTTACCTGGGACTATGACTCATTTAACTTCATGGGACTTTGGAAAAGACATGTATATGATTGCATTCCTACTCTAAGCCAGGTGTTCATATTGCCCATATCATTTCATAACTTCCCTGACACCTACATATGGGATTATCTGATCGTTCTTTACTCCTAGTCCTATTTTACAAGGAGGACAGGAACAAGAGAGTGTAATACCGTGCTTTATGGTTTACGTAAATATATTGCTCTGGTGCTCCTGATCAATACAGTAGCCTGGAATTATTATTATTTTTAAGAAATATTCAGGCAGTTCAGTTCTCTTCATGCTTGTTAAGGAGTAAGCTGCATTGAATACACATTCCCTATACATGCATTATAATGCATTCAACTATAGAGGCAGAAAAATATCTCTTGGCTCTCATTATGCTTGAAACAAAATAGATTTGTTCATGCATCCAAGTTTGAAAGCATCGCCAGTGTTGTCAGAATCTTATATCAGTTGAGAAGAATGGCTGTCTCATTACATTACACTGTGTTTACATCACATAATGGCAACATCTGGCTATGGGATGGACTGGTCTACTGTTTTTGCAATTAGCTACAGATATTTAAATGATCAATTTGATTTTGTTTCTTGAAGCAAAAATTTCCAGCTCATGTCACTTATTTGTCTGATAGAATCTTGAGGATTCTGGTGAATAAATTTCAAGTAACTGCTAGAAACTGTTCAGCTACAACGAGCAGAAGGGAAAAGTGCATCGAATCAAGATGTAGCCTTTGGACTCCTTTTGTCAAATATACTGAAACGAATTGGTCCATAACGCTAAGACATGTTTTCAATCAAAGCATCCAAAAGATACATTTGTAGCCTTAAACTACTAGACATTATTAGAAGCTATGTTTGCTTTTATCTTCCGTCTGCCCATAAAACCTAAAGATGAATGGGCAGGCACAAAAACTTACTAGGGGTGGGTGAGCGGAATATTAGTTATGCCCCCCAACTTAACTGAAGTGATCCTCGTCTAGCACCCCCCACTGGAACATAGACACCTCTTGGTGGATGCATGATGGAGAGCAAATCCCCTCTCCCCATTATGGCACCATATTCTGCATCCAAGGTGGGGAATGCTTTATTTGAGGACCAGGATGGGGTGGGGGAAGAGTAACTGCTTCCAATAGCGGCTTCATCTAGGTTGCTACTTTCCCCATGCCTTGTTAGATAACTGAGGACCCTTGCAGAGCATTGAAAGGTTAGTGCCTCCTTCTGCCTTGCATCATAGAACACATGGGCATTTCCTACTAGGGATGATGGGAAATGTTCATCTCCCAAAATGGAAATAGTTCACCATCAACTCCAATCTCTGGATCTTTGAAAGGGGAATGATTTTCATTAATGCCATGACTCAAACTAACCTGTCTGGAAGAATCACCTTCCTGTGAGCATTTTTATTTATTTTCCAAGCACATAATGCCACTTCTCAGTGAGGTAGAAATATATACAAAACTAAGGAAGGCTCTAAATGTTCCTCCTGCACAGTTTATTAATGGGAGTCACATAGAAGCATCCTATCTGAGTCTGTTCCTTAGCACTCCATCTAGCTGAATGTCATTTGCAGTCCTTGCTGTTAAGATACAACCAAAAGGGAAATGGTTGTCTTTTTAGCTTCCTTTGCACCTGAAAAAAATATCCACGCTAGTCTTTCACAGACTATGTTAACAAAAGCATTCATATTTACAAACAACAACAACAACAAATGCTGCAGTAATTTGTTTTGAAAGCATGGCAGGCTCTAGTTTCCACCATTCTCAAGAATGAGGTACTATTTTTTGTTTTACATTTTTTTGTTTATTTTTAAATGAAATATTTTCTGGAGTGCATGACTAAGGCAATGGTTTGTTTTCAAAAGTTCAAGTAAAGACCCTAGAAAAAAATGCTATTGCACTTGTCAGGAGAATAATGACTGTGACTATTAGGCTGAATTGCAATACATGAGCAGGCACATTATTCAAAGGCTCTCCAAGTCTGGAGAAATATATTTAGTGAATGAAATTGATGGAAAAGGAAGAAAGTTCATTTTAAAGTCAGTCTTACCACTGCTGATTCAGTACTGACAAGTTCTTTGTAAAGGTCTTGTAGTTTAAAATATAATAATGACTTGGACTTGGACGTTTCAGTGCCTTTTTGTCTCTATTGTCATTTTAGCATTTTAACATTTAAAATTAAAGAATGGTTTTCATCTGGTGTCGTTCTCCCCCTTCCCCTTCTCTCTTTTGCCTTGCTCCTGTCACTTTACATGGGAGCTTGCCTCCCCATGGGTTCAAAACTAATAATGCAATTCAAATTTTATGGTGCAATGACAGCTAAACTGCTACTCAGCCCTTTGCCATTACATATAGTTGCTCACTTTTTTTTTTAACAGCAATGATATCAATCTAATACCAAGGCTGCAGTCCTATTACACTGAATTCAGTGTGTCAGGTTTTTTTTAAACAGACAACCTAAATCTCAGCACTACGTATTGTTTTCCATAAAATGTACATAATTTGTGACAATTCCTTCTTCAAAATCCACCTTGCCTGAGGGATGTCTAAACTTGTAAAGGAATGTGCTCTGCATATATTCAGAAAGTTGGATCCTCCTAACAGCGGGTCCATGTTGTGCTCGGCCCTGAAACTCTTCCCTAACCGGCTTGTGGGTGCGGCTTGCCCCGCTCCAAGCTGGTGGTGCCACAGTTATGCCAATGGCCTTTAGCCAATCAGCAGTGTGGCAAGGTTGGGGATTGGGGGGTATCTATTTGGCAGCATGGCGTAGAGACCTCCTTTTGCTTCGCGCTGCCGAACACCCGCCCACCCATTAATTAGGTCATGTTTGGCCTTGCTTTGGACTTCGGTTGGTTGCCTGTTTTGGAGTGGGGGCCAGGTAGGAATTTTTCCCAATGTGGCAGATTGGCTGTGGCCACTTGGTTTTTGCCTACCTCTTAGCAATCATCACAACTTTGTAAGGTTTGGTGGTTAGGCATTGGTTTAGGGGAATGTGGGGAGGGGAGGTGCGACCATCACCTGCCCCTCCAATGAATAGAGTATTCCGTTAAAGGAATCCGGGGGTCTGGATCTCCTCCGAAGCCCGGAGAGGGGCTAGGGCCATGCCAGGACCCCTGGGAACCCCAGGGGTGAGCACCAGTCTATATACATTGATGGAGCTCCCCCTGCTTTACCCTTCCAGGCTTCCTGCAGGGTGGGGCAGGAGCCAGATATAGTTTGATACCAATGCCTAAACCAATACCAGTCACATTTGTGTATTTTAATTAAGTTGTGGCCAAAATTTGCCCATTAACATTTAAACTAAATTCTGTCTCCACTGTGTCTTTATTTCCATGGGGGATGGGTTTTGGGGCTCGAAGCACAGCAGCTAGCTCTATTTCCATCAGTTCATACAATCCAGATTTCAGAGTTGCCTTTTGGTCACTTTCTTTTGGGTTCATGTGTGCATACATACACACAGCACCACAACCATCACCAGCTAATGCGCACTCACTGTTTTCTCTGTTCCTCACTGGGTAAATCATTGGAATTTATAAATAATTCACTTTTGCATAACATTTTCTTTGACTATTAGCTGCACAAGAGCGAGTTCCTGAACATGAGCAAACTGACCTGCCATCAAACCCAGAGAATCTTGAAGGTGTTTAGCCCATCTCCTCTTATAATACATCATATTCCTTAATATCCAACAAGGTAACGCAGTGAGCTCTGCAGGCATTTTTCTGAGAGAATGTTGCTGCTGTTTTGCCCCAAAACTAGCTCCTCTAATCATTGTTCCACGTTTTAAAACAAAACAAAACTGGCAACTTTTTGATTCTAGAAAGGAGAGTGAACAAGAGACGGACAACACCTTATGCAGTCTACACAGCAAATGAAAGCTCCAATTTGTTGGGTTACAAATTATTATGAAAATGGAGCAGATAAGATCAAACGCAACAGCACAGGGTCCACCTTTAAGCTGAATACACTAAAGAGTAAAGTTTATTCTACACACACACACTTGATCTTAGCCAAAAGGCCGAGAAGCGATAAAGTTTATTCATCTCTGCTCCTATAATGTTAACTTTTGTAGCTTGATACTAAAGCAGATTTTTTAATTGCCAGTTGTTGATAATGAGCTGCAGGGGGGGGGGATCACTGTTCATTTCACATCATTGTATGAAAGGTCACTGAGAAGTCTTTGTTCTTGGTTTCTGTCCCAACCCCTTCCTGGGAACGTGGGGCCTCTTCAGGTACTGTCTGTCTGTAAACAGCAGTTCTGCTGCTTCTGTGTGCTGATGACTGATGCCTTGAATGAACACCTGTTGCTCTAATTCTTTATTAGTTTTCTAGTCTATAATTCATAGTAATCAACTTTGAGCTCTTTGGTGAAGTATTAGGGATTGCCTACTGCTTCACAAATTGTTGTACTTAAGGGCGCAGAAGAACATAAGCCTTTGAAACAATGAATTTCGGGCAAGGATAAATCCTGTTTGATCTTCAGCATATTCTTACATTTATCAAACTAAGAATTTTTATTATTTGTGTCTATCATATTTTTTTACCCTTAGTTATATCATCCCCTGGTGCTCATACTGTCTAATATTTTAAAGAAACAATATAAAGAGCTATCACAACACTTGCTAATATTGCTTGTTGTGATAGTAATAAAAGATTTGGAGCATCATTGTTGTTTTCCATAGGCATACCTGCCCAATTTGTTTATTGCATTTCACTGGCAAGTGTGATACACGTCTGACTAGTGGGGTATGAGAGCTGAAAAAAATCACATCTTGCACCCCTTTGGTTTCAGATAGTATATGGGTAGATGAGTCTAAAAAGCACAGGACACAAATTTTCATGGCTATGGTGGCTCATTTTTAAAAGCATTTTGAAAAATAAAAAAGCCTTTGAAGTATCCTCTTCCCAAACTTCCAAAATACGCCTAAGAACAATTTAGCTTGGAGTTATCATTTACTTCATTCCACAAGGTTGAAAGGGGGGCATTTTTACTGCTCCCAGTTCTCCCAGCACCAGTTGACATTTGATGGTGTTTCCTTGTCCTCTGAAGGCAGTTCTGTGCATTCAAAATGATGCTGACCTGCTTGCTGCGTCACACGGTGCCATATCATTTCATAGTCTTCCCCACTGTGTGAAACAGGCAACTCTTTCCACTGATCCAAAAGGAAAAGATGAAGAAGTTCAGAAACCTGCTGCTATATTTGGAAAAACATATGCTACTAGAAATATGTCACATTTTGCTTTTGGAAACAAAACTGTTGGTGTCCCCAACTCTATCAGTGTTCAGAAAAAGCAGAGAAGCAAATGAAGGACTGGGGACCTGTTGCTATAGTGATCTAATGAAGATCTAGGCAAAAGACATAGGAGTCCTGCATGCGACATGCTCAGTGCCCAACACCTGCAGTCTAGTAGGATTTAAGAGTAATGACTTGATGTGAAAGGAGGGTAAATGTAGCCTTGCAGCAGAGATGTGCTGCCCTTTTAATTTAGATTTTTAAAAAATAAAAAATAAGATTTTTACCCAGTTTCCTTCCACTGCATTTCTTTATTTCATTTATCATTTACGTATTTATCATTATTTCAAATGTATACCTTTCCAACCCAGCCAGGAGTCTCAGATAAATGTGAATGTAATTGTTACAGCCAAAATGCTTGAAAAAGCAATTCCTTAGAAGATGTTCCCTCTGCGAGTGAAAAGCAGCCACTTTTGCAGCATCAGACAGCACTGCGTTATTTGTTCAGATTTTTATACAGCAAGGTTTGGCCTGCCAAAGCTCTCCTGGCTATGCAGCTATTTCAAGCTCACAAGCACCTTTCCTAATGCCAGGCAGTTGCAATCCAGCCTACAATCATACTTCACTTTCCATTCATTCTATTGTGCCAATTTAACACTGTGCCAATGTGTTTCTCAGGACTTCTGTCTTGAATCATAGGCAATGCTGCCATGAAAAGGATTTCTGCTAATTGGATCAGTATGTTATAGCATAGCAATATGTTTACTTCGTGTGTGTCTGTTGCCGTTTTCTTGCCTTCTTTCTTCCACTTTATAAGCAGCCTATATTCCTCCTAGCTGATACTATTAACAAGCTGGACACTTCCCTTACAAAGAAATGACAAATGAAATTGGTTGTATGCCTACCAGTGAGTTCAACAATAATGTTTAGTTTGTGTAATGAAGCTTAAGTGTATACTGACCTAAAGCTGAAACTTGTCTGTATTGTTAAATCCTTTCCCCAGGGTCGGTGCTAGTGTTCAGTTCAGCTGTGAAGACAATTATGTGCTCCAAGGTACGAAAAGCATCACTTGTCAAAAGGTGACAGATACGCTGGCTGCTTGGAGTGACCATAGGCCAACATGCCGTGGTGAGTAGTGTTCATTGGAGGGAATAGGGTAGGGCACTGCAATTACTCATGCCAGTTGAAGTGTGTCATAAATTGAATGAATGGTCTTATCCAATCTTGCTCTTCATCTGGGTTCTCTATTATTTTGAACATCCTTTAAGGTTATGGAACATGTTTGGCAAAGTATGTAAACTTGAACGGTGAAGGTTTGCAGGGCTGTTCGCCCACACTGCCCTATGTATGGGCCAAAGACACATATGTGATATGCATAATCTTTCCAGACACAAACATTTTGAGCAACAAGGGTCATGCACATGTCTGCTCCACGCAGATGTTAAACCAAAGAGGAAGTGATTCTATTCCCCTTTTCCATATTCAGAATACACTTTGCTAAACAGTTCTACAGGCCTTCTGTATGCCATTCGCTGCCTATTTTTTTCAGTTCACCTTTGTTTTGGCTACACTTTTGTACTGCTGGAGCAGATCCCATCAGCCCTAGTGAGCATGGCCTGTGGCTAAGGACAATGGGAATTGCAGTCTAATTCTGGGGCATGTAGACTGGATTTTGGGAAGTAGGGTGGGAATATATGTACAATAGGCATCTATTTATATTTACTGGCAAAGCCTGACTAAAGATCTTTCAGAAGAAGAAAAAAGGAAACAGTAAAGAAAGCCCAAATTTCTCGAGCTGCAACAGTTTCTCATGTCCAAGTCTCAAGAATGTACTAACAATACACTGAGATTGTGTCAAAGACTTTTTGGGTCCAAGCACTTTTAAAAGAATTCTGATCTGAGCATAATGTTTAGTTTGACTTTTGTTTGTTTAAAGGCATTTCTAAACTGCTTAATATTTAAAAGTCTCTTAAGTGTTTTACAAAAAAATACAGTATAAAAACAATTAAACAGTAACAGCCTCCCCCCATAAAACAGCATTCTGAGAACAGATTAAAAACAGGAATTCAGTAAGAACAGGGTCTAATCTTATGGGTGAGGAAAAGACCTGCCTTTACAAGACATCTGAAGGAACTGATCGATGATGATTTATGGAAGGCAGAGGGGAACAGCATTCCAGAGTGCAGTGTCAGTGACAGAAAATTCTACAGGGCTATGAGTAAAAATTTCCCAGGTGAACTAAGTGATATTACAGGGCTATATGGGGATAGGCATTCTTTCAGGCAACCTACAACCAAGTTATTCACAGATTTGAACGTTGGCAACAAGATCTTGAATGTGGCTGGGGGACTGACTGTCAGCAGTGTGATGCCTTTAATATAGGTGTAAAATATGTACACCCGGGTGCTCTCAACAACTTGGCCACAGCATTCTGCACAGCTGTAGCTTCTGGAACACTTTCAAGGAAACAGAATGCATAGAACACCATATATAATGCATCCTATTACTCCAGGTGTGTGGTCACCAACACACCAGCATCCATATAGTGAGATGCACCATGCAGTTCTTCAGAGGGAAGATCTATCTTATATCAGTCAGTAATTACTGTTTTTCAGTTCTAAGACAATATTCATAATTACAACTGTTACAATATGCCAAAATTTAAAAGTAATCCATTCTGACTTTCTTTTAGGCTATACTTGGGGGGGAATATGTTTCTACCATGTAAATCATAGATAAGTACTATTTTACAACTTTGATCTTCACTGAAGGATCACTAACACTTTAAGTAATTAGCTGACTTGATCTAATTCATCCTCTTGGTCTTATAAGGAAACAAACTGCAAGGGAGAATATTGATTCTTGGCTTGAGTTATGCTTTTGATTCTGGCATTTGTGCCAATCTCATTCTAGAGAAGTTAGCCAAAAGCTGCACCAGCTCATTACTTACAGAAATTGAAGCAATATTACTATCTTGCTGTCACCTGAACAAGTGCCACGACTTTGTGTAATTATAGACATGATGCTTTTTCTAATTGAGTATACTTTACAAACGGCACAAAAACATCTATTACAATGCTTCACAGTGTGAGTAGCTGCCAGTTATAAAACTCATGTGAATGAATAAAGCCATGGATAATTTGCCATTTGTTTCGAATTGTCCAATTCATGGATGTTTTAAGAAGCATATGGTGTAGTCCGTTGACAGTGTACACTGTACAGCACTGATATAGAATGGATGGCAATCATATCAAGTAGTTCTGTACTAACTTTCACACTGTAATCAATGAGGATTAATTATGGCAACATGATGCTGGTATCCTTTGTTCAAAACGACTGTACAAAATAAATGAGATTTATCAATTGGAAACACATGGATGTAATATTGCTGTTAATTATAACCTTGCAGCCTCATTTGCATAACTGAAACTCCTCACATTTTTATCACCTCATATTTTCAGTTTATGATAATATATGCATTCACATTTAAATAGATCCCAGCTAGGTATCATATGGGGACGCGGGTGACGCTGTGGTCTAAACCACTGAGCCAAGGGCTTGCCGATTGGAAGGTCGGTGGTTTGAATCTCCACGACAGGATGAGCTCCCGTTGCTCGGTCCCAGCTCCTGCCAACCTAGCAGTTTGAAAGCACATCAAAGTGCAAGTAGATAAATAGGTACCGCCCTGGTGGGAAAGTAAACGGCGTTTCCGTGCGCTGCACTGGTTCACCAAAAGCGGCTTAGTCATGCTGGCCACATGACCCGGAAAAACTGTATGCGGACAAACGCCGGCTCCCTCGACCAGTAAAGTGAGATGAGCGCCGCAACCCCAGAGTCGTTCACGACTGTAATTAACTGTTGGGGTCCTTTACCTTTTTAGGTATCATTTTAGGTATCATATGATTCGCCATGATGATACACTTTGGGAAATCTGTAAGAGTTACACTTAAACTGGCCTTTGTTAAATGCTTCTCCTTGTTCATTCAAACTCTGTAGTGGAACATTTGTCATAAGTAAAAGCATTGTCCTCGATACACAGATGTATGGACCTCATTTTTTAATGGACTTTCCCTGTAAGATCTCTTAGACGGAGGATTCTCAAATTTTCCACTCCCGGGGCACATTTGAAAAAGCTGAAAATTACTGAGGCCCACTCAGTCACAAAATAGTGGTTCAAGGGCAGAGCCAGTCAAAAAGTGATGGGCAGAGGTGCAGTTTGGCATGATGAGCTGGTAACCAGTGCCATCATTTTTAATTGAAATCTAATCTCTCTTTGGAAATTGTGAATTCTTTGCCACAGTGATTTCCTTGTTGCAAGGAATCCATAATTCAGCCTCCCCATTCAAGGCAGAATTTGCCGATCCATTGAAGGTGGCTATTTATTATATATCTTCCTCCCCACCACCTCCATTTTTTACTCAATTATTTTTTATTAAGCTGTTGTTTCTCTATCCCTTCCACACAACTCATAGCTTGTTCCTGCAAAACTACCAATTTCTTTTATCTGTCCTTCCTGCTCCTTCTACATCACTTCTTTCCCCTTATAACAGCTGCCTTCTCATCCCTTCCTCTATGTTTGCATTATGACTAATTACCATTTGGAAAGATCTACCTTTTGTTTCTTATAATGTCCTTCAATGCCTCTAGACCATTCCCCTCCCTGCTCCTTGGTCTTCTCTGTCTCCCAGTTATCATTACTGTGTACCACTTTATTTACGACCACACAGGCTCAAACACACAAGCCAGCAATTTAGTTCTCAATGGTGGTGCTGGCACCAAATGTGGTCCGGGAGAGCGGGGTAACACTTTCTGTTTCACCTCAACTGGTGAAATGGGACATGCCACCTTGTACTGTTTTATTGTATTTATGTTGTATTTCTGTAAAACACTTAGAGACTTTTAAATATTAAGCAGTTTAGAAATGCTTATAGATAGATAAAATTAAAATTTAAAGTTTAAGAAAAAAAGGAGAGTAATCTTGTGGTTTTGGAAAAAAGAAATTTGTGCAAATTTTGACATATGGCCAGATTGTTTTTCAGTATGTGTGTCCTAAAATTTCTTTTTAGAGGGTTTGAACCTGAACAGAGTGTGATGCAATGTCAGTGTATTGTTAGCACATTCACAAGACTTGGATGTGAGAAACAAAAGCAGCTTGTGAAATTAAGATTTTCTTTAATGTTTACTTTTTTCTTCTGAAAAACACACACCAATCAGTTAAGTTTTGCCTGCTAATAATGATATATCCCTATTGTACATGAATCCCCCCTGTCTTTTAGGATACTATTTTATTGTTTTTATGATGTATTTTTGTAAAACACTTAGATACTCTTAAATATCAAGCAGTTTAGAAATGCTTTTAAATAAATGTCTCACCATGTAGACAAAGACTTTCTCAGTTTGCGTATTTAATTAAAATCTATGCAAGCTTCTGAAATACTCCATATTTATAACCAGGCATAGATTTCCAAGCAGTGATAATATAAATACATTTGTGTTGTGCTGTATTACATATTGTCTTTAGATTGTTCTGAAAATGAAGCATCATTGCAACAAAAATATAGCAATGAATGGAGAAGATGTGGAGTATGTGCAACAAGCAAACACACACACACACACACATATCAGCCTCACCCAACCAAATGTTCTCAGATGTCCTTGGACTGCAGTTCCCATAATCCTTGACCTTTGGCCATGCTGGCTGGGGCTGATGATAGTTGTAGCCCAAAACATCTGGCAACCACTATGTTGAGGAAGCTGAAGTACTCATTCATTGTACAAAATCATCACCATCACCTAATAGTTTTGAAAACAAACATAAATCTGTGTGAAATGCATGCAGTTTGCTATCCACTGTTTCAGTGCCACTGGAATTAGTATGGATTTTGTCACTGCTGTCAATGTTATTAAGAGGTACGTTGTACACCTGCCCTTGGTAGGTGGTGGCAGTCGGTTTTCTTCTTTTAATTTTGTTTGCCAATTTGCCTTGAAATAAATCTCCATGTCTGAAGCTTACCCACTGCTTTGATGCTTTTTATGCTTCTAGCTAGAACATGTGGTTCCAACCTCCGTGGACCAAGTGGTATCATCACATCGCCCAATTATCCCGTTCAGTATGAGGACAATGCACATTGTGTGTGGGTTATAACAACACTTGATCCAGGAAAGGTATGCTTCCTCACTTTGTAGGCTTTCAAATGATTACATAGAGTTAATTGAGGCTTGCTTGCTTTTTTAAAAAGAACATTTTTTTCTTTTCTTTTTTTAAAAAAGAGCATGCTCTAATTTATTGTCCGCTATTTTTTACTTTGATAAACTACAGCAGTGTAAGTGGCATTTGAACAGTATTGACTGCAAATTGTGTGGGTTTGCTATCAAATCCAATATAATAATAAAAAATACAGAGCGGGGAAATATCTTTATTCATTGTTTTGTTCATTATTTATGTCTCTTGTGAGGCATGGTAATAATGGAAATTAAAGTTAGTATTTTGTATTTTCTATTCCAGTACTTTTTGGTCCTAATATCAAAATGTATAATAAACTTGAATAATTGGTTTCAACACCCCAAAGTCTAACTGGTTTGCATGCAATAGCAGACATTTTGGTTCATTAACATGGCTAAAATAATTTAATAATCAGTATTTTTTTTATTTTTACTGAGTCTGTCTGTAGGAAGCAATTTGTTTAAAGATCATGGTTTTATGATAAATAAGATGGAAGGATCTGAATCTATAAGGGCCGACTATAAATAACTGAAATAAAGTGTATCTGAAGAAGTGTGCATGCACACGAAAGCTCATACTAAGAACTAACTTAGTTGGTCTTTAAGGTGCTACTGGAAGGAATTTTTTTTATTTTTAAATAAATAAATAATATGTGTGTTAAACTCGCATGTGTGACACAACATAAGAGAAGAATTTCTGCAAGATCAAAGTTCTAAAGAGACAAAGGTGATATAATTTCAATAATTCATAAAATTAGTGTAAGGTTTCTACTGTAACTAAATGTGTTTTAAATAATAATTTTCATTTCAAATTGGATCATTCATCAAGTGTGTTGCCAATCAAGGGAGTAGTAAAGTTGTGACAAGGTGGGGAATATAATGTCATGCTCATATGTTTGCTGCTTCTGTAGAAATATTTAGAATATCAGCACTTGTCCTCAGTAAATGTTCTTCATTTTGCTTTATTTCTCAAATCTCCTGTGGTGTCACAGAGATAGGTTTTGGAATGTATGCCTGTCAATTCAAGAAGTTCTCACATGTGGGAAGTAAGGACTAGAAGTGTGGTTTCAAAACTCGTTTCCCCTATAGATCACTTGACAAATTCTGATTAAAAGGCGAAAGTTTTATATGATCTGAAGAGAAGCCAGAGTATGACTTGACAAATTATGAGAATCTCAGTGTAATGAATGTTTGTTTTGTTTTTTCCTGCATAACTCACATTTTAATAACTGTAGCATGTTGGAGGGGGATTTCCAGCCGGTGGCAGAGGACAGAGTGACTCCAGGAGACATAGGTGTAAAAACCCAAACTAAAACGAAGACTTTATTACTAAGCAAATAAACACAAACTCTGGTGGATGTTATTCCTGCAGGCAAGCAACAAAACTCAGCCTTTTTCCTTTATAGCAACGGTCACCTGCAGCCAATTAATCCCAGAAACTTCTTAAAGGTATACACACATGTTTCTGTGCCGAATGTCCTCTAACATAGCAATGCCTCTTGGATGTTCCTTTTCTTGTGAGCAAAGTTCTGTGAAGTTGGGTATAACATTTGCCATATGAAGGCTCAGGTCAAATTCAGAATTCATCCGCCTTCTGTATTTGGATGTATGGTGGTTATCCTTTCCGCAGACCACACAAATGGACTTTGTGAATCACCAGTATTTTCAGTAGATCGCAGTTTGAGAACCCTTTACTAGGCAAAAAAAAAAAAAAAGGATTGAAACCAGTGGAGATGTATCTGTATATTTTTTTTGGGCAGAGCATGCAAGTCTACCATGTTTGGCAGGCAAGGAATTTGCCGCTCTCCATGTGACTCTAAAATGGAGATCATTTTGCAGGGAGCATATTCTTGTCCCAGTGTTCGAAAAACTGTGATGGGAGGAAGAGTCAGCACCTCTGTGTAAGGCACCACTATCCTCTTGTTCCCTAGTCAGTCTTCTCTGGTGCTGTGCCCCCTCCCACTGGTCAGTGTGGCCTTTGCCTAGTAGTTGCAGGACTGAGTAGGTTTTTTTTAGGGGTTCCCTGATTGGTAGACCCCTCTTTTTTTCACCTATTCCATGCTGTGCATCTTAGGCTGTAATTTGGCTGATTGACTTTGGCCGTGGCTGGCAAGACATGTGTATAGGAAATCACAGGTGTGCTGAGGGGCACCTGTAAGGTGAGGGATGGTTCCAACCCATGTCAATGCTGACTGGCTAGAGGTGCATTACAACTTGGACACCCCTTCAGGCTGTTGGACATACCTCAATGAATGCCAACTGATCGGGTGGGGCTGCCCCCTTGGCTCCTCTTCAGGATCAGGCAATGGAGGAGTAAGGTCAGTCAACTGGCTGCCAGGTAGATCTGTACTTTCACAGCCATTTGGCAGTTTGTTAGTTGGCTTAATTGGCACTGCCTACACTATTAAGCAGCTCTTTCTCTGCCTCTTGCAGATTTGTTATTAATCAAGCTATGACCCTTTAAGCCCATTCTGGTTGTTACACATGTTTACTGCAGTAGGGAAAGGGCAATCCGTTTGTGGTTCGAGGACCCGACCCCGGTGAAGTGAAATAAAGACACAAGGACACGTGATATAAGGTTAATGGGCTAGGAAAAGGCCACAACTTTATTGGTTACAGCATTTGAAAAGGTATTGGCTTAGGCATTGGATCAAAATAAGTGGGTTCTTCACCAGTAGGTGGAGCCTGTCGATGCCAATCCGACTATAGGCTCACCCCTGCTGTCACCGAGGGTCGTGCCAAGGCCTCCCGCCAAGCAGGCATCGGACGGAATACACGACCCCCAGATTCCTTTAACGGAATACCCCTAAAAATTGAAGGCATAGGCGATGGCCACACCTAGCACTTCCACACAGCGCAACACATTATTCCAATGCCTAACCTACCCACCAATACCACAAAAGTTGTGACGATTGCTACGAGGTAGGCGAAAAAACCAATTAGCCTAGTGCCAAATGGAAAAACTCCTACCAGGCCCCCCAGCCAACCAGGGCGACCAACCTAAGGTCCATAGCAAGGCTGAAAACCTGAGCCCTAACTAAAGGGAGTGGAGGGTGGGTGACTCGCGAGGGGCGAAGGAGGAAGAATGAGGCCGGGGGAAGGCTGGCGCTGCAGCAAAATGCTGCTGAACACGCCCCCACCGTGGCCCCCGGTTGGATGGCCACCGAGGGGGCGTGAGCGCCAGCCAGGTGAGTGGGCAGCAGGGGGCCACGCCCCCTGCTAGCCGGAGCTCGAGCCCCGACCACAACCCCTCCCCTCCCCTTCGGGGAGGAGAGTCTTTATCGCTGCATTGTATGGCTTTTAGCATTACCTTTGTCTCTTGCAATACATTTCCCCATCTCAGTTTTACCCATATCCTGGTTAATTCCTCTGTTTGTTTTGCAAGCTTCCGTCATTCATCTTTCCCAGCGCTCTACTTTCTTAGTAAAATGGGAAATCTGCTGTACTTTGTTGAGATGAGAAACCTATTTCAAAAATAGTCCCTAGCGTTCTGCAAGTGTATCAAGTTGAAAAGGGGAACAAAAAATCTAATAAAAATTGGCAGTTTCATAACATGAAAGACAACTTGATTCACTTCTGAATGAGGTTAGAGGACTATTATCTTTTCATTGTCCTTGAAGTACCATTCCTGTATATTTGGTAGAAGGTTTGCTGGATCAGGCACTGTGAGCCTGGGCCATCAGGGCATGGGGTGTGCAAAGGAAAAAAGAATGACAAGACCAATAGCATGGGATCAAATGGCTACAACTTTGTTGATTGGCATTGGATGTGTATCCTCAATCACCCAACCTGTCTGCTGGGTGATTATTCCTTTAGGGTTGATCCTAGGTTTTAGGATTGCCCTATGATGCAAATCAATTCTAGGTAATCCCTCCAGGACACCATATTGGGAAGTTTTATGGCCCAAAAAAACTTACCATAAAATGCCCGTTTGGGCATTGGACAGAATACATCCTCCTGGACCCGTTTAACAAGGGATCCTGAAAACTGAACAATGTACTAGACACACACTACTCTGAGCCACCCCTTTTTCAGACTGAGAGTCCAACCCAGTGTCCTTTTCCGCCAATAAGTTGTGGCAGTTGCTATGAGGTTGGCAAAACCTCCTGAATAGGCCCAATTTGTCTGCAGATAAAACTCCTTCCTGGCCTCGAATACAGTGACCGAATACTTCCATAGTAAGGTCTATCACACGTCTCACCCATTTCCATTCAAAATGGCAAAACTTTTGGGTGGGAGGGACAAACGTCCAATGTGTTAACTACATTGCTGTGTGAGTGGATCCCTTACACTTAGCTTCAAAGCATATTTCCAAGATTACGCTTGCCTTCAGGGTGATAGAAAACTGTGTCCTGCCTGCCACCATTTTTCAGTCTAAAGCAGTATTCAACATCTAATTCTGGGGTATTCGAGATATTGTTTCAATTTTTCATATAATTTTGCAGAGACCCTACTGTCTTTATTAAATCCAATAAAACTATGTGGCTCAAGTGTAAAAATGAAGGAACATGAAATCTGACCCCCCCCCCCAAAGATAACACCCTCTTGGATAAAATAAATTCCTCAAAGGTCATGGGGGGGAACTATGTTTACATAATTTTCAAAAAAGCATTTAGTAAGATTACCTTGCATTACAAGATTGGGAGAAAGGAATGACTATTCAGAAACCTGGCATCAATTGGCCTTTATCCCGAATGGTCATCTTGTGTTCTTACTCCTATACAAATCAGCAGAGCCAACTAGGATTTCTCTTCTATGCTTCATTAAGCATCTGCTACCTTTTCCAAAGGCATTATCTTTTTCCGTTTAACTGTAATGAGCTTTTCAAGTTTGTTCTCTACCTGTTTAGAAGTATTTCCTTTTAATGCTCTGCTTATTTTGAAGGCTTGCTACCTTACCTTGGGGTCTACTAATGTATCTGCTGATCACAACCCTACTGAGCT